TATGATCCATTCTTTCTGACGTTCCATGCTTTGGATCGCTGGCTGCTGTATCGATACAAAAATCAAGAGGCTACGATCCTCTACGGATACGGATGAACCTAGGTGTCGGAATTGTTCGAACATCCCTACTGTTAGCTCAGCGCGAAATTACATAAAGCACACGCACGATATTTTTATGTTTGAATAAACACATTTATCGACCACTCCTGGTAGCTGGTAAACAATGCCGTTAAGCCTCACTTACCATTTAGAGCCACATTCACCATCGTTAAGTAGCCATCGTTTAGTAAGCATGATGGCATAATGGCTAACGCGATCGTTCAGCGATACAATTGTGAAGCAACTTTCGCAATGACCGATCATAGGATGGGTGACCAAAAATTTATTATCTCGAACTCCTCCAGCTTCGCAAAGCATGTTAATTAGTTGGTCCCGGCTGTCTCTGCAGTCGTTAATACCCACAAATCTAAACTGGGATCCCATGGTGGGTCATGGGTCATGGCCCAATCTCCCTATTCGATTCCATCCATGGGGAAGGTCTGAGCCGCTGCAGAAGGGAGAATAATAGGATGGTGATTAAGTAACCTAAATGATAGGTGATCCACACATATAATCTATTTATGAATTAGCACATAGGCTACAAACTGTGAAATGACTGAAATGTATCAAACTATTGAAAATTAATAATACCATCTTAGGCAGGGTTCTGACCGTCATCATAAATATTTTAGAAAACAATGATTTCCTAAATACTTACCAATTTCATAAAACTAGAAACTTTGACATTCAAGATTCAATTAAACCCCAGAATTTAAACAAAAACGTTTTAAAAAGTTAATTGGTATTATCCTTAATTTTAAAATTTAAGTTGAATAAATTTTAAGAAATTATGAATATCACTGCTTATTTATTATATATATCAGGCAGAATACTCTAGATTAGTGTTCAAAAATATCAATCATAGACTTGACTATTACACACAGCAGCACGCCACGTTACACAAATATCAACAGTTAATTTTGAGGCATAATTAACTTTGTCAGTATTGTATATCACGTGATGTGGACTAGTACATAATTTACTTACTGTGTATTCTATGTTTAACTACACCAAAATCGTGGAACTAAGACAATTATCACAAAATGTAAACTTCGCTCAGGTAATAATTGTTTATCTTCTTTATTTTCAGCTATTGTATCGCATAAATTTCAATGTAACTTGAATTAGTAGGTAAATAATTGAACGCTCTAATTTAAATATTTTTTTTTAAATATTATTGGTTTATTTTCATTGGTCGAATTGATCGATATGAAGTATTCGAGGACTCCCCAAAGACATGTTACATATATCCCGCTCGGTTACATGTAGCCCGCTTGTTTTCATATTTTAGTATGTGAGGCTTTAATAGAGGTTAATACATTATATTGCCGTCTTAAAGTAAAATATACTTTGAATTGACACAAAACCTTCATAGTGTAATATTTTACTGCTCAAAACTTTGAACAATGATGGCGAAACTAGCAATGAAACAGCCTCGACTCATGAATCGATCTTCACCGTTATTGGTCCATGATAACGCAACGCAGTTTGATGAATCTAGATCCCTAGAATTGTATCAGCAAGGCATTCCAATCGGAATCTAATCAGGTGGCAACAATGTATAGATTAATTTTACTATATACACTCGTATAATATAATCTAATACTAGCGCCATCGGACACGTTGTAAAATTTATGAAAACGAAAACCTATCTAATACCTACCCGACCAAAAGACCAATCAAATTGACCGTTAAAGCTACTACTAATATAAAATAGATATTGGAACGTATGTCAATATACGATTGAGAAAGGAATGTGTAATAATAACATAGTTATAGTGATCTGATCAGGGTGTGCCATCAATTTGTTCTCTCGTCGGCAAAACTAAATTACATTGAGTTCGTTACCGATCGTGGTCCACACTTCATTCAGACGTCCGTTCCAATGAAAACAAACTGAAAGCTTCATTATCTTATATAGTATAAAACAAAGTAGCTTCCCGCTTTCTGTGCGACGAGATCTTTTAAACTACACAAAGCTTTATATGTACTTTTGCCCGCGACTTCGTCCGCGTGGTAAAGTTACTTTGAGCAGTATTTATAACGAATATTTATTTTATTCGTTCCATTAGGTACTGATAGGTTCACACTAATACATTTACATCCTACATCATCCCTTATTTTATCCCCATGGGGATTGAATTTATCGAAATCTAATTTAAGCGGACATATTCATCATAATAGTTCCAATCTTGAATTTCAGTTCAATCAGTCGAAAATCTAAGTAGATTTATACAAATTTTCATCCCCTATGTCACACCCTTAGGGGTGGAATTTATCAAAATTCTTTCTTAGGGCCTACGTCATAATAGCTTTATGCATGCCGTCTTAGTCCGATCGGATTAAAATTGACAAAATTTCTTACAAAATTTCATCCTCTATTTTATCGCCTTGGGGGTAGAATTGATCAAAATCCATTGTTAGTGGATGCCTACGTAATAACATCTGCCTGCATGCCAAATTTCAGCCCGATACGTCCAGTGGTTTATGCTGTGCGTTGATAGATCACTATGTATGTCAGTCATCTTTGAGTTATATATATATTTAGATAAGATAATACATTTTACAGGACCACGCGGACGAATCCGCTGGCGGAAAGCTAGTATTTAATAAAACAACTTTAATTGTGTAACATAATCTCATATTCATTACATAAACCCTAAACACAGTACACTCCTTTTTTTGGACAGTCGTGGAAAAAGGAGATTATTCAGTTTTCTTTTTTTAATTGTAATGGAAGTATGATTAAGACGACGTTCCAATAAAAATTGATTTGCATTAATATTTTTTATGATCTATAAAATTAATGATTTTGAATTTATTTCGATGAACCTTTTTTGTTAACTCAATTAGTATGTGTCTAATTGAGTTGACAAAAAAGATTTTTTCATATAGTAGATCTGACACAAATATGTCAAGATTTTTTAAGTTCTTATTTTGCTAATTCCCTTTTCTTATTTGCCCTACGAACTTTATGTCGCCTTTATTAACATAAAATATAACCAATTTTATATCTGATAGATTTATTAGAGTTTTTAAAGTTCTTGTCTTTGTAATTCCCTTTTCTTACTTGCCCTACGAAATTTATACCGTCTTTATTAACATAAAATATAACCAATTTTATGTCTGATAGGTTTATTAGAGAACGAGTATGTGAAATAATTTATCAATCACAAACACAAATTCAAATCTGACGGATTTGGTGAACATACAAATATACTTCTCCCTCCAAATTCTCCAGATATAAAACTATTATAACTGACTTCTTTAAAGACCAGGTATCTTCACCTACGAAAAAATACCCATTTTATAAGTCATAGGATAGAATAAGTTAGTTTTTGCTGCTTGGACTGTTTAGACCGTCCTCTGTTGTTAGTCCATCATGCTGTGTACACTAATTTTGGATTATTGTCTAGTCTAAATTATCTAATATATTTGTCGAAGTCATTTGTTGACCGTGATCGGTAAGTTTACCTAATTTAAAAAAAAACTGAAAGTTAAACAAAATCTTGTAGGTTCCAAATTATATTTATGTTAAACGTAGGTAAAGGAGCCCTACGTTAACGAGTTAATTGAGATTTTAACTAATCATCTCGTTTATTGATGTTTTTAATGTTAATAGTTAATGAACTTTATAGTATGTCGTCAACAAACACATCAACTTGCCTCATAAAGTAAGATTAATGCCTGTTTACTTGTCGACCATGGTAGTTACACGCTTTCAACACGTAACTACGTATTTAAGTTAAGATTGTGTATATCGTTATCATCACCAGTTCATTTACTGTTGGAGCAAAGACCTTCCATAAGGATAAAATCAATACAACCGGGACAACAATAAGGTTCCTTCGAAAGGCGAAGGAGCTCGAGATGGTAAATTAGTTGTCACATTTAAAAAAAGAAGGAAGTTGCTTTAGTTTCGTATTATAGACCGAACACGCTAGCCACGACGCTGTAAGAGAGTGTCTATAGCGGACGAGAATAAATCTTATATTGATAGGCCTATTTGCGTTATATACGTTCAAAACTTTCTCACCTATAAATTTTCCAACTAATAGGGAGAGGGTTCTCCACGTAGAAAAAAGCCCAGGGATAATGGATTTTAACCCCAATGCAGATTAGTGAGGTTTACGACTACCGATTTACCCGGAATGAGATTATAAATTTTCGGTCACCCGTCCATGTCTGTTCTATCTGAAAGTTGCTTAACTTCTACTATCGCAGACCGAACTTCTTAATGGCAACGAGTTACTTCATAATAAAATGAGTATATACTAGTAACTATTAAGTACCGCAATCTTTTCAATCTGAATTCATTGTTTAGCTTTCACCGTGACAATATTTTGGAAAATTTTAAATTAAAACTTTTAATTTTATATAATGAGCTGAACAAAGTTGAATAAATAGTGTGATTTCAGTGCAGTCCTCCCCCTCCCTCCTTCACCCTCCCTCCCCCGACACTTTTACGTTTCCACTGCAGGGGCTCAGGTCTTCCTTATGGATGGTTCAGGAGGACGGTCATGACCATCCACGCTAACCCTGTGCGAATTGGAGGGTATTAACGACCGCAAATGCAGCCGGGACCAATGGCTCAACGTGCTTTTCGAAACACATAGTAGTTCGAGATAATATTTTTTTAGTCACCCATCCCGTGACTGACCCTTGCGAAAGATGCTTAACAACAACGATCGCGTACCGCAGCGCTTATACACTACGCCACCGAGCTACTCTATCAGACGTATTCAATATGTACTGTTTATTACAAAAGACGTCCGTGTTGTGTCACGGTAAAGTTCTGAACAGAATTGCCTCACGTTTTCATATAAATATTTTCCTCATATAAATGCTAAGGGCCATTTTTCATTTCCGCCGAGCGCCAGTAATGCACAAGGAAAATAATAACAAAAACCCAATTACATTTTTACCAAAACATCATTTATTAATTTCAAACAATTTATTATTTCAACTAAACTTAAGACAATAAAATTCTAGAAATATCGCACTATAGTGTATTACGACAATAACTGACGTGACAAAATGTTTACAATATTTAAAAGAATTCTAGTATGACCATATTCCTAGTTTTTCATTTAATGACTAATGTGACTACAACTAAAAAAGGAATCAGGGGTCTAAATGAAATACTAAATAACTAGGACTATGCCCCCATTATACATAACCGACTCATATAAAACAAACCATATAAGGAGACGAATTTTATTCAAAAAATATAATTTAGTATATTTCTTACTCAAAGAACTGGAGAACTTATTGCGAGCTTGCATAAATGGATGTCAAAATGAGATAGAACTATAGCACCATTCCGTTTTGACTCCAACGTAGAAAAGCCCACGGCAGAGCTCCTGAACTTTTATATTATGAATAATGGGGTATACTACACTTAAACAACAAAGGGACGCGTGCCGTGAGATCACTGTTGCTGCTGCGGTGGAGCGAGACGCGCTGCTTGTAGCAGTATGTCGCGCTTTTCTTTCGGGAAGCGTAGTTCGCGTGCTGCGAGACGGGCCGCGCGAAGTTCACGTTCGGCTCGCGCGAGTTCTGCTCGGATCAGGCCGCCACTGGGGCCGGCGTCTCGTTCCCTCGCCGCCCACTCGCGCGCCATCTGTTCGCGCATCGCGTCATCGAGTGCTCGCGCCGAATAGTGAGCTACGACTTCCTGCCGCGAACACTGCCGCTCGCGCATCGCTCTCAGCGAACCGTTCCAGTGCAACAACTGGAACACCGTCATTAGCTCCTGGAACTCCAGCATCGTCCTACCTTTGTTCGCTTCTAACATAAATCTGTGAATAAAGGATAAAAATTAAATATTGCAAGTCACTGTAATAAATGTGGAAGTTATTCTGTCTGTAGCGCTTTCACGGCTAAATTCTAATATTTGTGAACACCTACACTTTCGAAGTCGTGGGTAATATCTAGTTCCCTATAAGATTGTAACGGTGCGTCGTCGCCACCGTTCATTTCGTCCTAGGTTTCCGCATGCCATCTTTTTGTCTTTAATCTTCAACATCATTTATTTTCATTATCCACTTTTCGTTATTTGAAATTTTTGACTAATCCAATATGCTCTTTATGAATGTCAGTTCGTAAAAAAAACATCTGGTGACAACATGATAATTTGATCATATAAAATTAATTATATAAATCTAATCATGATAAAGTTATTATAATTTCAATGTTAATGTTAATCTAAAAGTATATCTACTAAGTTCTACCTATTACGGAAAACCCAAAAACGGGATATGTAACTGTTCTAATTGACTATTGTAATTATATATTTAGGTTATCATACTAACTGTTTTTATATTCCTCTTTTTGTCCTCTAATAAATCAAATTTTCAAACTTAATCAGCCTTTTATTCATTTGCCTAAGTATCGAACTCATCACAACGTTAGCTAGAGCTTTTTATGTAACCAAGATACATTTTACAGATGCTTCTTTTAAAATGCAGTCTTCATGCCACTGAACATCGCAAATAGTGAAAGAGCAGAAATGAAACTACTTTTCTGCGTCGACTTGTACGAATAAGCAACATAAGAATCCCGTTTTAAATCCTTTCAAGATGAACTTTAAGATAATAGAAGCTTGTCAATAGGTTTTTATTCCTCACCTGAAGGCAGCGATGCCAGCACTAGGGTCCTGATGATGGGCAGCTGCATCGCCAGCGAAGGAGTTACGAGCTTCTGCCACCGCTTTCTCAATGAAATGCTCTGATATTCGCCGAGACTCATGTTCGTTGAACACGCTATTCATCAATGCTATTTTTGCTGCACTACGTCTCGCTTCCGCCTTCGTGGGACAGTTCTGAGGACAGAAGTACCATGCACTTAATATAATTACTTAATCGAATGTAATATGATGAGGTTTGTTTATTTACTAGCGTGTGTTGTCATACGCATCGTAATGGCGGCGTATAAGAGAAACGGCGTTTTCAGAGTGGTTTTGGAAAATTAAACTTTAACTTTGATTGATAAATACAGTAAGTTACCTCGAAATATTAATGTAATGTGCTTATTATGTAACTAGCTTTAGCTCGCGACTTCGTCCGCGTGGTAAAGTAACTTTGAGCAGCATTTCTAACGAATATTTATTCATTAAAAGTTTCCCGAAAAGTACCTGACATAAAAGTTTTTCCCCTATTTTATCCCCTTAGCGCTGGAATTTATCAAAAATATTTCTTAGGGGATGCCTACGTCATAGTAGCTTTATGCATGCAATTTTCAGCTCGTTCAGTTTAAAATTGACAGTTTCATACAAATTTTCTTCCCATATTTTATCTCCTTGGGGTAGAATTGATCAAAATCCTTTCATAGGGGATGCCTACGTCATAGTAGCTTTATGCATGCAAAGTCTCAGCCCGATCGGTTTACAATTGACAAAGTTTCTTACAAACTTTCTCCCCTGTTTTATCCCCTTGGGGGTAGAATTGATCAAAATCCTTTCTTAGCGGATGCCTACGTCATAACATCTACCTGCATGCCAAATTTCAGCCTGATCCGTCCAGTGGTTTGGATTGTGCGTTGATAGATTACTATGTCAGTCACTCACCTTTGAGTTATATATATTTAGGAAAAGCATATTTTAAACAATCATTTAAAACAGTCAAATACCCTATTACATGTAAATTTCAATCCTAGGTGAATGTTACTTAAAATAATCATTATCTATAATATAAAATAGTATCCATCTATCTATCATCATCTATATTAATTAAAGATTTTTATACTTTTAAAAGTCATTCGTTATACATAATAGGCTTAGTAATTAAATTACAATACATCGTCAACACAATGCTTTATGACGATAAAACTAGCGTGTAATCTTAAACTTTCTCTGATCTGAGTAAGTAGTTTATTGTCTTCATAACAATTGCTTGTAAATATTTTTTTAAGACGTGGATGATCAACTTTTACATCATCAGTCTTGTACGTATATTAATATCCCCCCCCCCATAGCTGAAGCAAATACCTCTACAACATGCTTTAAAATTTACGTTATTATTGTTTTGATTACAATCTCTTGTTCCTTTGGTTAGATTTTGTTTCAATTTATCCATAAATATTCTGATTTTGCAGCCGAAGATATATAGGATACTGATGTAATAGGTACAAAAGAATATAAGTGCACTTCAGCCGTGAAACTGAACTTAGACGTGTTTTGATCGTTTATTCTACCAGCGGTTTAAAAACACTATCTAGGACGTCTTCACGACCTTCACTAACGCCAAATATTATTATTGCAATAGCTTCTTGATAAATCAATTATGACAGATTCTTGTTTTTTTTTGCCATACAGTGACAAGAACTGTGTCAACAAAGACGCCATTAACACACTACATTCGTGTTAACATTAGTAGAATTGAAACCCTGATTCCTTGCAGAAAAGGCAAAGAAAACGGAGAGAAACGTTTTAAAACAAAAAATACTATTAAAATAACTATTAAATATTATGATACAAAGACTAGATCGATGAGGAGCTCGATGGCGCAATAGTTAGCACGTTTGGTCAATGACATAGTTTTTAATCAAATTTCACAAAGCTCAGTTGTAGGATGGGTGACCTAAAATGTATTAACTCGAGCTTCTCCGTGTTTCGGACGGCAAGTTAAACCGTTGGTCCCGGCCGTATCTGCAGTTGTTAGCAACTACCAATCCGCACACCCTATTCAATCGATTCCATCCATAGAGAAGACCTGAGCCCCAGAAATGGGGAGATTAAAAGGCTAGTGATGTGATTAATCTGTTCAGTTTACCTGAAAGCTGCCGAAGCACGCGCCGCCGGGCAGCGTGACGTAGCATACGTACGGTGGGTGCGCGGCAGGCACCGACTCGTAGATGACGAGTGCTCCTCCTCCGCCCGCCGCGCCCCCACCTCGCGATGCCTTCACTTGCCAGAACTCCTGCAATGCTTCCACCACGTTCACTGTCGACAGCACACCATCCGCTGCACAAACAACAATAAGCTTTGTAGTGTACAAAATAAGATATTTTATCTGTAAAACAGACCGATGGAAAATAGATTTTCTTTGCTGACATAGATTTGATAGAAAAACAATACGTCAGTCATCTTTAACGTCGCACCAATCGCTAAGACTAAGAGATATGAGCGGATTAAACGTGTTTCATTATACATTACTCGCTGGTAAAGAATAATGTAACAAATAAATATGTTTGCAGCAATAAATCTGAAATTCGGGATGAATTTGCCCATTTTGGACAAGATTTTTAGTCAAATAGGGGTTGGGTCTTATTTATCTATCACTAGTGGTCGCCAGCGACTTCGTCCGCGTTTTCCATTATTTCTTCTCTCCTAATAATTGTAGCGTGATGTTATATAGCGAAAAGCCTTCCTCGATAAATGGTTTATTCAACACAAAAAGAATTTTTCAATTCGCACCAGTAGTTCCCGAAGAAACAAACAAACTCTTCAGCTGTATAATATTAATATAGATTATGGCAAAGTCATTATTATGACGTCAACGTAAAATTGTATTTATCGACTAATATTTTTAAAATGTATATTGATGATAATTGTGTAATTACCATGAAGTTTTCGGTACAAATACAAAGAATTTAAGAAAGAACATAAAAATAAAAAGAAGAATGTTATTCATATAATGTAATTATGTAATTATTTCAACATTAAAGTGTCTCTTGTTGTATGCGATGATGGTAGAGTAACCGAATATTTGAAGTTTTTTTTTAAACAACACCAATGTATGTGCATTGCTCAGATTCAAAGATGAGTAGCTGAAGCCCTCGTATTATAGAGTATCTAAGAAAACGAAGTTAGCACAACACCCAGACACGAGACAATATAGAAAAGTTCATTTTTTACACCTTAGAGATGGCGACACCTTATAAACCGACGTACGAAGGCCAGAAATATGGAATATAATCCTTAATGTGGAATATTGAAATTCCTTTCTAAATTATTACTAAATAGGTGAACTTTTGTAAATTTATAATCAATCCAAAAAACTAACGATCGATTTAGGGATTTGCTAGGCTTATTGGAAACTGTATCAAAATTTCTGTAAAAATATAATTTAGTAAATAAGTTCAGTATTCGATATTAGGGATACTATCCCATATTTGATTATCTTCCTTTACATTTTAAATACAACTAACTGTCCCTTAATATCTGATCACTTTCCGTAGCAATTTACGAAATTTTCTTTATTGTGTCTTATTTATGGGATATCTCCACTGTTCCTGATACACGAACAACAAGTGCCTACTCTAATCATATAGATTTAAGTGATTTGAATCATAGCAATGTGTGTTTTATTGCTTGATATTACTACTTTTTAATACTTATACCCTCGACTTAGATCATCTGAATTCAGAATATAGTTATTATTAATGTTTAAAAAGAAGGTTATGTTCTTCCTTAGACATCAAACTATATTTATTAAAGTGGAAAGATTTAATTGTTTGTTTGTTTGCTTCGTATATACTCCGGAACTCCTGGACCGATTGTAAAAATTCGTTCACCTACGGTTAGCTAAATCATACGGGGTTGACTTTTACGCGTGCGAAGTCGCGAGACAACAGCTAGTATATATCCAAAATCATAATTAAGTATCTAACTAAACATTCCATTCGTTTTCACTTTGAAACTAATAAACAAACTAACTAAGAAACTAATAAAGAACTACTTTCGAAACGTTAATATAAATTAGATAATCTCAAACTGTGGTTTTCTGCTTAGTTTTGAGAATTCATATGACGAATCAAAATGAAGTTAATTTTAAATGAAAGCTCTTACGATTTACCAGGAATACTCGGGATTTTATAAGCGAATGAATATCTTGTAGCAAACGAATTAAGAAAACGGCATTTTTTTATTGATGGCAAAGCAATTATATAATGTAAAGCGTATGTCGATGCTTGGTATAGGTACTGTTATTCAGGCCTGGTTCTAGAGGGGGGCGAGAGGGGGCTCTTGCCTCGTGCGCCAATGATAGGGGGGCGTCAAAATCATCATAATACCTAAGGTGCGTGGACCATGGAAGGCCACACTAACGAATAAACTGTTACTTACGTAATTTACGGGTTAAATAAGAGCAACTTATTATTAAGTAAGGTTTTGTTTTATTGTGTAATTTGGAAATCGTTTTTTAATTCTAGATGTCACCACTACTAATGAAAATTACTTTTATTAAGCTCTTCCAAACGGCCTTACAAGAAAAAGCGCTCCATGCAAGGCCAATATTAAAAATCAATCGTTTAACTTAAAACTAGAATAATGATAATCAAAATATCCTCTTTTTCTAAAAATACATATAAGTAGAGTTCTTTTATTTAAACGAATTAATTTAAACTTAAATGCCTAACATATTATATTTTTCTTTAAAAAGCTCAACGAAATGTTCCCTCAACACAATCGTTAAACTGAGAATATATTAATAAAAAATATTTAATAATTATAGTGTCGAGTATTAGATCGCTAACAAATAAGTTGCTATAGTGTTTTGGAATAAAATTATAAACAAATTTACACGTATAATGGCCTTCTAATGGGTCCGTTCTTTGCAATGTAGAATATCCCTAAGAAGGCCAAACTAACAATTATTACCTATGACAAGCTTTTTAATCTATACTAATCTTATAAAGGGCAAAAGATTTGATTGTTGTTTGTTGACATCGAATCATCTGTTCATTCAAAAGTTTTTTGCCATGGTTAAAAAAACCTAGATCCGGGCCTGCTTAAGTCATACGACTTAATTTAGGTGAAATTGAACTGAAATTACTGTCTAAAATGGGATTCGTGATCAAAATTGTAAACAAATTAGTTATCACTACAATATTCTCTTATATTTTGATGATGAAACTTTTATAATCGTATAATGTTATAAAATCCAAATCAGGATAATTATGGTTGAGAGTTATATGCGTTGCCAATCTTGTTTATCATCATCTTTCTGTTAATGTCTCTACTGCTGGACAAGCCTTCCCTAAGGTTGGAATCGAATCGAAGAGTGGGAATGGGCCATAACGGGCCAATTGCGGATTGGTGGGTGTTAACAGCTGTATATGCAGCCGAGGTCAACGGCTTAGCGCGACTTCCGAAACAAGAGGAGCACAAGATGACGTGTAAGTGCGAAATCAAACCACAAGTTGTTATAAACATTGTGAATAATAACTTATTTACCATTACAGTCATTAGTATCCTTTATCGAAAAAAAAAAGAAACCATGCGAATACAGGTGAATGGCTCTCGATTGATTAATCGCTTCACATTATTGCGTTTATACATTTTTCACACGGCGGCGCCAACGTCAAAAGACAAATCTAGAGTGTTCCAAAGACTTTCGAAGGCCCGCTACCATTAGTTAAACAAAGAGTAGATTAACGACACAGGGAAAACAGGCGCTCTGTTTAAATAAATCATTGGAAATCAAATAAAAAGCACTAAGTGAGAAGCTGGAATTTTAATGTCTAAAAAGACGTTGTGTTTTTTAAAAGACCAAATTGGTCCGGTTTTTTTTTTGTAGTTTATAGCATATCGTGAGATGGATTTGCATCTATAATGGTTGGTGACTACCGAGTAGTCCACCCACTTGTTATGCCGTTATTAGGAGCTTTACCATAAACGTGTGCCGCTTACACGACTTGTCATTAATCAAATCCAAACAGCCGCAACGCCTTGCCCGCTGCTGTATTGATTTTCCATCAAAACATAGTTTAGACTATTTGATGACAACTCGGAGGCATTGACTTTTTTATTTGTATTTGATGAGTAATGGCTGCTTTAAGAGTTCAACTGAATGCTTTTATAGTATGATAACATTAGTTAATGATTATTTTTAACAGTAAGTTATGATTTATTACGTTTATATCACTGAAACTTAGTTTTTAGAGACACAATTAAAGTATACTGACTTCTTATATCCATTATATGAAACAACTTTAAACGATATCAACGCGTTTGTATTTTCTTTCCTTACATTTTGGATCGTTTACAGATTCCGTGTTCAATAAGATGCCTTAGTGTCATTGGAACTGTTTAAAGATGTTTCATTTAAACGATAAAAGTATATTATCTCATTTTTAAATATCTGTAGACTGTGAGTGAAATTCTTTTGTAGAAAAACAGAATAATAACTTTTTTCAATGTATAAAATTTCAATAAAATTATTTTAAAACCACACGTCACGAACATCAAATCTCCCACGCGAATACGTGATTAGGCTAGCAAAAAACGACCTTCGCAATAACTCCTGGATGTGCGATGTTTCCAATTCTCATAGAATATTTATTATAGGTCCGTTTTATAATACGTTACTTTGCGTACGTTTTCATATTTTCTTTCACCCTTGATTCAGAATTATAAAGTAGGATTTTTTATTGAAATAGCTATGTCAATCACAGGTTTATATTACATGGTTCCTAAATGTACATTACATGTACAAGATGAACTATTTAATACAAAAATATGAAACCAATGACGTGACCTTGCTTTCAGTGTAAAAATATTTGTGTTAAAATAAATAATTACTAATAGTTTTATTCAACAGAAATTAATAAATAAATTAGAGTATAGATAAATTACTACGAATTACGTATTCCAAAGTAGTTTTACTTCATTAAGAGTGGGTGCAAAGCCATAACACTATCCCTATCTATATTATTGCTTCCTAACATAAGATAGCTTAGGATAGAGAATGGTAAATCGCACGGTAAAAACTATTTTTAATTAATTACCCGCAAACGAAAACTGTATAATTCCCTAATCATGAATAATAAAAAATGATAAAATCATGAATTAGATTAAAATATAATTATAACATGAAATTGTAGAGTAGAGTTATTTTGAGATTTATTTTTCTATATCAAAAAATGAAAATTTACATTTTGGCTATGGCACAACCCTAGAAAAAGTTTTCTCGATTTTTAATTAGAGCTTATTTGGTAATTATTTCTTTGTACAAAACCACG